AAATTTATACATTTGCAATATATTTTGCACACTGTCAATATATTGTCTTTATATTTGTTTCCAATGAAGTCGTAGACATGTACATGTATCTGGAAAGGGTTATTGCTCCTTTGGACACAACTTTGTAACAGTAAAATGCATTTTTTTTCTCCCAACAAATTTTCAAATTACCGTGTATATATATGCAGAATTAATTTTTATTTTGCAGAATTTATGCATCAATGGGTTTGCGCCCATTTGGAGAAACAAGGAAATGAGGTTGGCAGTTCGCCGAAAAACAACCAACTTTGCAAATTTATGTCAAATATGTAAAAGAATAGCTTTGTGTCATTTAATGTACTGTATCATCATAACGTAATGACTTATATGGCATCAAAGTCAATGTTAGAAGGCGTAATGAGTCAGGTTTTGACCATTTTCAGGAAAAGGAAAAAAAAGTCATCTCAACAGTTCATTGTTCTGATTATTAAAGTGTACAACAACAGAAAAGGGACCGCTAGAAAGCAAAAGATCTCTTGAGAGAAAGACTGGGGGAGAAAAAGACTAGGCATGTATTGGATTCCTTTAAAGGGAAGATGCAACATTTGCAAACATCAAAAAACGAAATGATCCAATTATCACGAAATATCTTACTGGATTGTTAGGGAATGACAGTCTAAAGCATCCTGTAAAATTGTGGCTCCTGGTGTGCTGACATTTTCAAGAAACATTGTAGTTTTCCAACGCTGGTCGGCCGACCAGCGCTGGAGAAAACTGGCTATTTTCAAAAACTACTCCATATTTCTTATATTTAGTTATTCCACATTTTCTTTGCAATTGATTACACACCTGTGAACGGGTACAAGCCAGCTAAATTGATACTCTGGCCATACAATTCCCCAAAGTCTATAAATTGCTCCATTTCATCTTAAGTGGGGTCAGGGAACCAGACTACAAGAATATAATTGGTTTTCTTGATTTTTCCATCATCTACAAGCCAAAAACGTGAAGCAAGTCAGTTTAACAATATTTGCTAAAACATATAAATCCTCCAAATGCACTTATTTCTGAAAATTGCAGCAAAAGCCAATGTTGTACATTCCCTTTAATGTACTTGTACGGTACACATCATTGTGTATCAGTACCGGTACCAAACAAGTTTGGAAGATTAGGGTACAACATGTACATGTAAGAAACACTGTGATTCTGTGTTTCAAAAACTAAATATTAACATCCTTGCTAAAATATTTTAATTGTGCATGTTACCAGGTTAAAAATCATCAGCTGCCATGGTATCCATGGGCATCCCGAATATGGGCACCCTGCACAAGTACCCCCTCAACGGTAAGAAAGGGAGAGTTGGGGGAGACCACTGGGAGAGACATTAGAACGCATTGCTGACAATGCCTGATGCTTACTAGGCTTTGTGCACATTTTTCAGAATAAAAAACAGTCCTGTGTACTTTCGCGCTGTACGCGCGCGAACAGTACGTGCACACGTGGTTCTCGAAAGTGGTAAAAATGCCCTCTCTGTTCGCGCCTGGAGCCCGTAATCTGGTACCAAATTAGCTTATGAAAATTTGTCAAATTTCATGTCAACGTGAAGGAGCATTCACAGCTACACACAACTACATGAACACTCAACCACTAAGGTTGAACAAAAAAATCCCAAAGAAAAAATAAAACTGCTGACTTGTTCTTCCCCATTCTGGTTGGATCCAAATGCCAAACTACTGTGTCTAAATGTCATCAGGAGGTCCCGGGATGCAGTAGCTGCACATTTAATCATTCATGTCACATCACAGCCAAGAAAAAAAAAAATTCATGCAGTTTTCCAAATGAAAACACATACATTTGTACATTTTGCAGGGATTTTTTCAGCAGAGCCTACCGGTAGAAGATTTTAATCACATCATGATTTTGTGTGTACCGGTACATTAACATCAGAAAGAACTTCCGGTACATGTAACATAGCGGTATAAAGTGTACATGGATTTCATCATGAAGTCATTGTGACTTCGTCACATGACGTGTGATGACGTCACGATGACATCCATTAAATATTTAGACTTTTAGACATCAGGGCGTCAGGGAATTGTCAGGTCAGGGAACCAGACTTAACAGAATGCTCCCAAAACAAGTACAGTGGGCCTATCTAACGCCTCTTCAAAACAAGGTTGCCAATTAAATATCCCTGAGGACGAAGTTGTTCGGATGCGGATCTTTTAATGGTTTTTTTTTTGCTGTAAATTGGATTGACATGCGACAGGCGCACTTCACATTTCTTTCCTATAATTGAATGTGGGAGGTTATACATGTTTTTGGCCAGTGTCTAATTAAAAGTTTTTAACTTTGGTATTGTTAAAAGTAATGTAATAAACAAAATCTACTTTTTAGGCTGAAACATCAAAAAGGAAACATTTGCTAACAAGTTTTTTATTATCAACTTTATTGATATTTCAAAAGAGAACTATTGTTTCTATCACCGGCCCGGCTTGGGAAATGCGGAAAATCACACTGCAATATATCTTTTTGGGGTGTTTCCATCCCAAAGTTTTGAAAAATGATGGCTATTTTCTTGTAGTGTATGACATGACTTACATGTAGGTACGAGTTAACCTGGGTACGAAATGATGAGTACGATTTGACTTGGTACGAGTTAACGTTTCCCTGCATTCGCTGTCTGAGTGTCATCAGGCAGATACACGTACATGCATTGGGTGTGGGGTGTATATGAAGTGATGTCATGATTGACGTCATCACAAGTCATATGACGTCACATTAAAGGGGCATTTTTCTAAGTCCTATATAAGAATGATACCGGTATGTCCTATTTGGTTGTAACTTGATATGTACCATACCGGGATATGATAAGCCCGGTTCATACTCGGTGCGAAAGCGAATGCGAATTTGTGACGTCATGGCAAGTATTCGCACTGCGAATTCGTTAAAGTTGAACATATTTCAACTCGGGCGAATTTCGCAGCGAACATGCCATGACGTCAAATTCGCTTCGCATTCGCATTCGCATTCGCATGAAGTATGAACCGGGCTTTATAGATGAAAATCATATGTCATGTGACGTCACATTAAAGGGGTATTTTTCTTCAATATACCGGTATGTGTATTTAACATTTAATAATAGTCATTTGCACAATATGACATTATGCTAACAGCTGTTCTAAATGTAAAGACACATACATACATATGCGGCGCCTAGTCATACAAGCATATATTAATGATGTTAAGTGACTTGCATACATTAACAGCATGTATGCATGCATGCACATTAGTGAGCAGCCTGAAGCACTCACAATACAATTTCACAATGAGCCATGTTTCCAGCACAGTGATGTACATGTACATGTATGCATGTTATGTACAACTTCAAGTTTCCCACATTGTATGCGTGAAGTCCAATGTTGGAGGGATTTTTTTCCCCACTGTCTGCGATGGGGCGATAAAACTAAATTACCCCGTGACAAGTAATGCTGGAGCTAATCCAAAGAATCAAAGCTCAAGTCCCGCGTCTTCCATGAGGAGTTTGAGTCACGAGTCACGTACAGGCACATGTCCGAGTCTAAAGTCTCACTGATTAGTCTCGGATCTTTTACATTGACGTGTACACCATACAATTGCTGGTTCTATGTGAGATTTCAAAGAGGTTGACATACTGTACCGGAACATGTATGTACTGGACAAGGTTGATGAAGGTGTCCCATTCCCGTAAACCTGGGAAAGATCCCCGGGTACCCGATACCGCAACAAAATTGACAATACCTAATCCTATTCTGGGTTTAATTAGTTACCCGAAACCCACTTTGCAGACTATTCTAACACACACTTTCTAAAAGGGCAATACAACCAAGTGGTGGGATTCAAATCTGGATTGTTTAAAATTTGGTTTGAATTCCACTATTCGGTATGGATTGTGGAAACCGGATATTCAAAATTAACCTTACAAAATTAAGCCTTCTTTTTTTTTGTGTGACAAAAGCTCATGACAACAACTGGAACATCCCCCACTTTCTCTCGCAGAGTGGGTTATTTTGTTCGCCAAATGAAAGCCCAGTAAGTAAGATTTGAGGCTTTGCATGGTGAAGATACTAAATAATGAAAGGTTTGTGGAAACACCATGTGCGAATAATGAAAGCCCCCTTTTTTCAGAGGGTTGCAGACACCCAAAATTGGAATGAAGTGTAAAATTTCAGATCATGTAAACAAGGCATGACAAATTTTATGGAGCGAGTTTCATCAGCTCAGAGGGTGAGATTTAAACGCCATACGAAAAAAATACTCATTTTCAGAATGTTGATACAGCACTGGAGATGGTGGCGGAGGGTGCGTGCTGCGGCTGAAAGATTCTGAAGGAATGCAGGATCACCCCTGATGTCATTGCACACCTCCTCGATCGTGTGTTGCACCAAACGATTGAGGAGGTGTGCAATGACATCAGGGGTGATCCTGCATTCCTTCAAAAGCTTTCAGCCACAGCACGCACCTTCCACCACCATCTCCAGCATTGTATCGACATTGGAGGACGCTAAGTCTAAAGTGGCAGCTTCTGTAAGTGGGTATTTGTTTTCGTATGGCGTTTAAATCTCATCCTCTTGCACAAAGCTGATGAAACTCATTCCATAAAATTTGTCATGCCTTGCGTACATGATCTAAAATTTTGGTTTAATTCCACAACAGAGTTATTTAGGATCAAAGGCAGGACATCTACTTTTGACACGTAGTACAAGTACAAATTGAATATTTGTTACCTAGGAGAAAAAAAATCCATTTTTTGAAGAGCATGAGGCATGCATCTTTAAACACATCTACCGTAAGTAAACTTTACTTTGTGTATTCAACAGCCTGTACAATGTACATGTTTGAAAAGGTTTCAAACAACAGATTTTTCAGAGGTGTTTTGTTAGCAAAATGACATTTGCCCATCCACAAACAGATTGATATAAGAGGATTACAATACATTCATAAAGTGTACATCAAAGAATTAATAGGAATCAGTGTAATACCTTCAGATGATCCCTTGAGTTCAATGACAACATGGACTTTCCCAGACGGCTCAAGGTCAATCTGGTGGGAAGAAAAAATAAAGATATTTTAAGTGTTGGATTAGCATCTCGTAATCCATATTGTCTTGACCTACATACTCATTTTATGTAAAACACAGTAAGCAACTGATGATTCAATATACAATGTACATGCACAGGGTGTATAAAAAGTGGTAATCGGATATTAATAAGGGAATAAACGTGTGCTTGACCGGTTTTAAACACTATGTTTAAGACTGGTTGGAGTCTGGACACTGATATGCCGAAGGTAGTAATCATTTGTCATTTGTACATTTTTTTTGTATGAAGCAAAAAAGTGCTCAAAATCTAAAGAAGGGTGCTTGACAACTATGAAGTTTTAGCTCAGTGAATATTCCGAAAAAAAAACAAAACATTCTAGGATCTTGATTTCAATTTAAAAGTTGCCGAGTCATGTTTTGAATTGTGCCCAAAAATCAGCATCCGGGACACGTTCTCATTCAGCTGATTGCACCCATTCACGGCTTCGCCGAGCTAAAAACGAACTAAATTCCAACAATGCATAAATAGACGCATCTTTGAAAATGACCTGCTTTTATGTTTCCTTCAAAACAACAGCATGCCAGAAAGAATAATTTCACAGGCAGTTCAATGCCATTACTACAAGAATATATCTTTAAACCAAGTATGCTTTTCAACAATAAATTTTGTCAGTTACTTTTTGGATAGCTGCAAATGATACACTCTACCTTCAATCCAAGTTAGGGTTTTGATAACAATTTAGTAGGTTACTAAATGCAAATGATCCTACAGCATGTGCATGCCTCCAAGGATAACCTGAATACTGAGTTCATGTTCCACATCACTAGGTGTCTCTTGTTTTCTCTCTCTCCCACCGTCATTCTCACATTCACAACCACTTAACATTTTGGACAGACACATTAAGGTGTGAGTCACCATGCTCCCAGTTACATGTTCAAGTGTTATCCTATATCAGGTGTGGGAAATTAACACTTACCCATTACACTAGAGGTGTATGAAAATTTGCAGTTGAGCAGGGGAAAAAATTAATCACTGATTTATCTTGAGTAACATGACCTCATTCACAACATTAGCTACATTCTGGCTTTTAACACTGTGGCTATCGTTCTGGCAGTTTTCTGAACTGACAATACTCGACGTCAGGATCTTTTTGGTCTCGGAACCAGACTATCAATCGCATAGTTCACGGACTTTATTTCCATTTGATAAAAAAAAATGCTCCAAGGCCACGGATCTCTAGGGGGAAAAAATGAAGTTACTTCAACAAAACGTAGGATTTGATTTAAATATCATAACGTGTCCAATAAAAAGTAGGATTTGACTTGAATATAAAGTAAAGAAAACTATTTAAATAAAATAAAAAGGGAAAACTAAATCTCTGAAACAATGGATTCAATTGCGATACCTTCGGCATGGTAGTTCAATGTTTACCCAATCGTGATATAAATTCGCAATATTTTAATTTTATTTTGGCAATGCAGCAATAATATTCCTTGAAAACTGCGTTATGGTCGCTATAATAATGGCCACTTCGTTGTAAAAATGCTTCGTTTCCTTTGCCCAAGTCCGAGTAATAATGTTTTTTTTTCCTGTGGTACAATCAAAACACAAACTGTGCAACTTTGCAAGCACGATGTGATCCAAACACGATGTGATCAAAATGTGCAAACATGTTGTTTTGGATGTACATGTACACCAGGATGTACGGTACAAATTCAATGGACAATATTACAATTGTACAAACATGACAAAGGCCAACAAAAATGTTTTGAGTTGGTCGGGTTATGGTAAACACGGCATATATTTTGGGGGCCAAAGAGAAATTTCTGCTGAATAATGTGCATGCATGTGGCACATTCATTAATATTTATGAATTTCGTGTAGGCTTACATGTATTTTGGCAATTTAATATTACCATTTGGGACTCAGGCCCATTTTCAGGTCTTAAAGGGCCCATGCCATGTATTTTGTTTTTATTGAGAGCAATCCTTGAAAATGCACCTTTGTGTTTCATTTGACCTTATTTTCTATTTCATTTTGCCATTTTCAAGGGTATTTTGGTGCCTTTTGGGTTTTTATGCTAATGCAAATTTACATATTCATGAGCAAAAGTGATGCCATTTCCGACAGAAACCTCAATGTTACAGCTACCGGTATTTCATCACCAAAATTTGCCAGAAATTTGGTCATTTTGCTGTCGTGGATTTTCTTTTCTTTGGTGATTCGTTTTTGTGTCAGTACATGGCAGTAAGCCAATGAGCAAATTTTTCTCACAAATGTTTTCAATGAGCAAATTGTCGGGTTCACAAGTTGAACAGAAAACCCCTAAACTGAACAGTGTCTTCCTGAAATGACATCACAGCAAAAGCGCCCTCAGTTGTCCGGAAAAGCATGGAAAATTCAAATAAAAAAAGAAGTGCACTTTTCAATAACATTAACCAAAAAGGTATGCCAAATAGTTTTCATACATTTAAGAGGAGTGTGAAAGTTGCACAAAATGTGTTCCCAAGAAAAATTCATCTCATCGCCCCTTTATTGGCTCGGCTTGTGGTGTTTTACAGGTTTTGTTATTTGCAACCAGAACCATCAAACACGTTATATAATAAAACGTAAAACTACAACCAATTAAATTTATACATTTCTTGGAACCATGAAGTACACTATAGTTTACATGTAACTTAAAGCTAAGGCCAAGTAAAAAAAAAAACATGTTTAGCATCCAGGTTTTTAGAAAACAGTGAGGATGTGGGACTTTTTATTTGGGACTTTTTATCTATTTTTAAGATGGCTGCCACTTTTAAAAAAAATTCCGACAACCGTCGGTTTTTATACTGTTCAAAGACATAAAAATGATACAGAAATGCTAGACATGAGAATAAAACATCTACAATGGTTTCAATAGTTTTGTTTAAAATTTGTTGCACAGTTTTACAATGAAAAAAAAAAGTGCAATAGATTTCTCTATTTCGAGTAAATGGTGAAGGTGATGAAGGAACACAAAATTCAACAAACTTTTGGTGGCCCAGATTGATACATGCACCATGTCATGAATGTAGACTAAAGATTCATCCGGGTTTGCTGAGATTAAGAGCTTGTCTTTGCGCATATAGATCTCTTCACCTCGACCGAAAAAAAAATAAAGAGAAGAAAAAGAGCGAGAGAAAGGACAATTAAAAACGTGACACTTGATGTGGCTTTTGATCAACAATAAATATCTGAACTGACTTCACGCCTCCGACCATAAATCCATGCGACACGAACATTCATGATCGTCATGCATCGTCTCTCATTCAACTAACGACCCAACAAAAACATCAGATTTATATATAGATACGCCACCAGAGATACAAGTAGAGATTGAGGATTAAGATTGAGGTACTTAGATTTGCTTACGATCTGGCTGAAGAAGTGAAATTTCTAGTACTGATAAAGAATCTTCACTTGGTTTGGGTTCGGGTTGGGTTCGGCTATTTTTATCGGAACATTGGCTTGGTTCGGGTTCGGCAGTAAATAAGAACGTCAACACAATTGCTGTGGGAGTATACCTGTTTATCGTCTTCGTGCATAAGAAACCTGTTTTAGAGGCCCTTAGTAGGATGTCCAATGCCAAAAGAAACCCAGCCACATCACATTGCTGCTACTTAGAACGGCGCGAACGAGAAATCATAGTTTTCAAGTGCTCGAAGGGCAAACTTTGAAATGAGAGTGAAGTTAAATTTTGTATATTAAAAACAAGTCCATGTTGCCTTTTGTCTCATCAAAAATGCATCTCAACAACATTATGACGTCAAAACTATCATACATGTATATTTACAAATGTATAACCCCTTCCATATTACTTCTTTCACATCGATGGTGATCGAGAGGGCATGAAGTATATGCCAAAGTATTTTTTTCCGGCAACGACGCCCCATTGACCGCAAGTGTTTTGCCGCCTTAAAAAATCTTGCTCCCTATTAGCACATAGACTGGTTCCCGCCAAATAGTGATAAAAACTGGAAGGGTATAAAGATGGGAACCAGCTAAATCGGGAACGATATCGACACTGTGAAATAAGTCAAGCAAAATATTTTTGAAACGATCTAAAACCAGTAATGTCACAAAACTGGAAGAAATATTTTCTGTGTTATATATATATTTTGTCCGTTTCCGTGAATTTATTCCAAGCATTAAAACTTGGATTCATAATGCGGCGCATGCACGTGGTCACTCAGTCTATGATCCACGTACCGTCCGCGCTGGTTTGGATTGGAGATCGCAGGGTCAACTGAATGATGTGGAAAGTGACCGATAGAGTCTAAAATTAGAAGTTCCAATTCGCAAGTATTTTATGTTTTCATGAAATCAGGCGACATTTTGCTTTTTTTTTTCAAAAAAAATAAAATAAAAAATCCAAGTGGCTGCCAAAACGGAAGCGGGCAGGGACACTAAACATGTAATTTATTTCTATTTGGCCTAATGGACACCATTTGCAAACAATCAAAAATGAAACTGTCAAAATTAAATATAATGAAATATCCTACCGTTACTTGATTGTAAGTCAATTAATACAATCATACATCCTGTGAAATCACTGCATCTAGTATGCTGTCATTTTTGAGAAAAGAGGAATTACCATCAATTCCTTGCGATGGTTAGGACCAAACCATCAAGCTTGCAACGGAAATCTATGCTTTGCATTGAGAAAAATGCATTAACTGTTTTCTCAAAAAGTACATCAAATGAGCTGACGTTTGGACAGGTTACTTTTTTAATAACCTGCTTCAGATTTATTGTTCCTGGAACCAGCAAAGACACATTTTTTTTGTGCAAATGGCGTCCATTACCAATAAAGGGAAGATACAACATTTGCGAACATCAAAAAAAAACGAAATGATCAAATTATCACAAAATACCTTACTGGATTGTTAGGGAATGACAGTCTAAAGCATCCTGTAAAATTATGGCTACTGGTGTGCTGACATTTTCAAAAAACCTGTAAACCAAAAAAAACTGGCTTTT